ATGAGTGAGACGGTTGAATTTCACAATATAAATGTCCAAAGTATATATTCACAATAATCAGATGACGTCAAAAGTATGAACATGTCACTTTTTTAATCCCCTTTAAGTACAGGAATCACTCAGTTCAGTTCTGTTCGTTTCGTTCGGTCCGAGTCAGTTGCAGTAGTTGCAGTTCACGACTCACGTTCACCACATTTCGATTCGACACTTTACGGTTCACGTTCACTTCACTGTCACTTCACAGTGTCACTCACGCGAGCGTTTCAGGGCAGGAATTGGACTAGCCTACTGCGCATGCGCCAGAAAGAACCAACTCAGTTGTACTTGGTCTTCAAGGAGTCGACTCATGAGTCATAACTTACTAGTTCAGTCCAGTTTCAGTTCAGTTCTGTTCTGCTGTTACCTCCATGACCATTGACGACTTGAGTCTTTGAGTCAGTCTCTTTCCTCTTTCACCCCCATCATCCGTTGCATTTTAAGTATTCGGTACTTTAATACTGACTATGGGAATGGACTAAAAATTGGGTTTTCCCACTTTTTACCCTAAAAACATTGTTTTTTGTATTTTTCAAGTTATTTTGTGGTACTTGACAAAATTAATAATTTAATTCAAAATATTCCATGAATATTCCAGAGTACTTTACCAGAATATTCTGAGAATGTTCTCCAGATTTCTATATAAAAATTTTCTTAGAATATTTTTGTTGAGTGATCTGAGTATACCTATTCAAAAAAATTGCCTGGGATGTTGTGAATGATCACAAACATTTTGGAAAATTCCAGGAAATCCTATTATTTTTCATGTTGTATTTAAATGTTATACGGTATATACAAGTGAGTTAACAAATTTTTTGATTTTCTCGAATTTGATGTTGGCAGATGTTGATTGCAGTCCATGCCCTGGAATTTTAGTGAAGCGGAATCATTGCAATTATAAAATAAATTGAAATACCATCCAGAGAAATTATAGAAAATAAGGTCAACACTTGATATTTGGTATCAAATTAAACTTACCAAACTTAAAATGAGAGTTTTAGGAATTTTTTACATAGCCTACTCCAACTCCTTTGTTTGAATAATCTTAATGTTAGTCTGGAATTTTCAGATTTTATTTTAGTTCCTTTATACATTTAAACAGACCAATGCATCTGCAACTACACTTGCAACTTAACGATTGCAATACAAAAACACCCATAAATAATAACAATGGCATATAAAAAGCTGTTGTGTTTACTATTTTATATTTTTGAAAGTGCAAGTGATTACACATTGGGATTATGCAAATATTGACTACATCAGAACTTATGTTTAGAAACTAAGTAAAAAAATAATTAAAAGAAGTATAAAAAAATATTACAGCTGGAAATAGTGGCATTGTAAATGATCATTCAATTTTAATAGTTTATGTAGAACATTTATTTTAAAACGTATAAAGTAAATCATAAACAGTGGTAATTTATCATAACAGTCCGTACTATCACACCTCACACTAATAGCAAAACATTTTTAAGTCTTCAATCAGTTCACCAGCACCTCAATCAATGACTCTGTAACAAACAACTTTGTTTTAGCTTTAATTTAATAAACTTGGGCAACACATTCAATGTGAAGCCTACAGCATAGTTCACACTAACAAACATATTGTATGTGGTACTATGGGGTTATTGCATGAAGTTTTGGCTGTTATTTTTTTATTTGTGTCACTATAACATAGTAAAATATACAGTACAATAGACTCCCTCTTTTATCCAGACTCTCAGGACCCAGGCCAGTCCGGATAATGGGTTTCCTGGTTAAACTGACGTCCCAAAAACTCATTAAAACTGACCGTTTAAATTCATACTGTATATACAGTATTTGACTAAAATGTAGTAGAGCAATGTGTTTAGACTAGTAATCACTGTTTTTATATCCTGAACACAAGAACAGTCGTTTCAGTAACGCTTACCTCCCACTTCCTGCCGACCTAGTCCGGTTAAACCGATGTGCTGATAAAAATTGCCTGGTTAAAGAGATGTAATTTCCACCGAGTGTTGTCTGGTTCAACTGATGTCCGGTTAAAAGGCGTCCGAATAAGAGGGAGTCTACTGTACCTTATCATGGCTATTAAACATGGTAATAATGTTCCCTAATATGCAGCAAGGAAAATCAATTTTACTTAGCCTAAATACAAAGCGAAGAAGACTGATTCTGAAAATTACATTGCACTGCAACAGCAATGTTATGGGGCAAAGTTCTGCAGAGAAACTGTAATGTATCCTATCCTATCAAATTTTCAGTTTCTATAAATTAATAGGCCTACTGTCAATAGCTTCAAATTTATATAAAATATATTGAAAGAAATAGGCCTGCTTATTAATCTTTTAGCCTATGGGTCTTTTTAAAAAGAGGACCACCCGCTAATCTTTTACAGACCATTGCGGCGTTTAGGTTATGTTAGCTTATAGGCCTACCACATAGAAAAAAACCACGCACCTGTTTGAGTCGTGCATGCAGGACAGCAGGAGAGTCAGAGTGGTGGGGAAAGACACCTCGACCAACGACTTATCCCCACCACTGCTCCAGGCCCTTCCCCACCATCACCCTTCACCCCTACGTGCGCGAGACAGCCATGGTTCTGCGTAGGTTCTTTTGAAAGTGGTAGGCCTATAGTTTATAAACAAACAAGGTATCATTAACAAAACGTTTAGCTTTTTTCTATAAGCTAAGTTACCCATGAAAAGACACGACTAGGTATAATTTGGCGCTTTTGACAATCAGTTTTGATAGAAAACTGTACAACACTAACCCAACCCAATGATGATGCTATTGGAACAATTTGTATTTATTTAGGTGTTACCTGGTTTTTATTAACATAAACTAAACCAAACTGAACTAACCTTGTTCTTGTTTAACCACCACAGCACAGTGTGAAAGTCTATTTGAAAAGAATCTATGGCTTTAAATATTCATATCACAATACAGTAGGGTACCTTTTTACTCAAAACAAAAATCGGAATTTATATCACAGGGAATAATATACTATTTGTACTATTTGTATAACGAACTGATTTTTCACCCAATATATATTGAAGGTATTGAAGGTACTGATATTGCAGGTTCTCTAAAGGACTTTACTGCAGTTCTTAATAGCCTACATTGTTTACAGTAAAACATTCTAGCATAAAATGAAGACTGTAAATGTATTGTTATTTGTTTCATCAAAATTACCCCAACTAAAGAATAAATTGTAGGCCTAGTTATTTTGATCTTTATAATAATATGACCATAACAACCTGTATAATGATTTTTACATCACTAAGTAGAGGACAGATTGTTTATTCCTTAAAGTAGGTAACGGGACAACAGTTTTTGGCCGCTACAAATAACTAGCCTACAATTTAATCGTTTATAAAACTTAACGTATATTTTCCTGTCGTTGGAGTTTCAAATAGCATGTTTCTCATGGCCATGTTACTCTAAATAATTTCAAACAAACCGATTTAAATTAAACAAACGATGTTTTAATAGCCTATTCTGACTATTACAACAGCGCGAGGAAATGCCTCTTTCAAAAGGTTACAGCATTCTTATTAAGTTGGAGACTATATGTGTGTATGAGTAGCAAGTATAATCATAGACAAAAAGAATTATATATAGACTACCAGCCGTGCTGCGGTTGCCATGGTTAACACAGGTTCCGGCGCACACTTAGTTTGATTTTATAATCCAATAAAATAGGCTATTAAATGTTTGCCTAAACAAGGTTCGGCCTACTTCTAAATTAGTAGATAATTTAAATGTGTTTGAAGATAACAGAAGGAATAAGTTATGAATCGTGAAGTAAAACAAAAATATTGATAAGCTTATATCGAAAAGAAATCATCGATAATAATGAATGTCCCCTTTAACAGGAAACTGCCAAAGAGTGAGAGACCCAATATAATATAGTAACCTAATAGGGTACTATAGTGTAGGCCTGTCTATCGATAGCGGAACCTAGCCTTGCCCTACGCCAGGGTACATAATGCAAAGCCTAGCCAAGGCCTAAGTTATTTAAATGTTAGTTAGTTAGCCTACACATTTAATTGGCTTAAGGACCATATTTAGTTTACGGCATAGACTTTTTTCCAGACAGTTAATGGTTTACAGGCTATAGGTTTAAATGTGTCAACCTAAAGATTAGGCCTTTATACAACTCACCCAAGGGTTTCTAATATGAAAGTTACACCGCTTGGTAACTTATTTTGTAAGTGCCTTTTACCACACAGCCTAGACAGCTCTTATATAATTATAAGATTCGTCCTTTTGCAATGTTTATGGGAAATGTCGGTAGTCCTAACCATGTCCTAACTGTGTGACCCTACAGGGGTACAACAGTTTCTTAACTGGGCTACGCTAATATCGATTGGAACTATCGAATTGAAATATTGATTTATAATCGATATTTTAAAATATAATGTCTATAATAAAATGAATCTATCATAACCTAACCTAACTAACCAAACTTGTTGATGGTGAAAAAATCGCAGTTTACTAATCGAATCGATAGTTTCAATCGATATTAGTGTAGCCCAGTTAAGAAACTGTATCCTTGTTTTATTTGGACAACACTTGGAACAAAACACAACAAACACTTTTAAAGACTAGGCCTACAGTATAAAAACTAACTTTAACTTACAAGGGTGCACGGGGATGGCACGGTAGAACGCATAACAATAAACACTCTTTTATACACTTAAATCCGACTTCAAAACATACAATACTTCGATAAAACCTCAAATTATTAAAAAAAAAAAAAACACAGCTTAAAGACTTTGAAAACTACAATCGCTGCATCGCTGGGGCACGGCAGGGGCAGACAGGTCGGAGAGGAGACAGATGACAGAACAGTAAACAACTCTTTTGCTTCAATTGTGTGAGAGTCGTTCATTTGAGATCAGCTCAATTTTACGGCTTGCGCATGCGCAGTAGGCTAGTCCAATTCCTGCCCTGAAACGCTCGCGTCACTCACCACAGTTGTCTTCTGCTAACAGCTGAGAGGGAATGTTGAAATGAGAAGGGCAAAAACTACAGTTTTTCTCAATCTAAATTTTCTTTTAAGAATTAAAAATTAAGGAGTAATATTCGGTGCACACCACAGGTAGGCTATAATATAAACATATTATTTAACCAGCATATCAGTTGGCATTAGTGTACATGGTAGGTTATTTGCAGGTTATGTTAACCTATTAACTATTCAAAATCCTTATTTGTTTACAATTAATACTTATGCAATCAAAAATATTTCTTTCACAAAATAAATCAGAATAGGCCTAGGCCTTCTGTTACATTTCTGTAGGTCTAAATATTTTTTTCAATTTATTTTTATAGATTGAGTAACTTAATCAATTCTAAGTGTTGGGTAAGCAATTTTTTAATTCTGTCAATAAATCACTTAGGTTAATTAGTTTAGTTCAAAACTCATGGATTGCTGGCTCAGTGTTGGCCGCAGAGTATGGCGCTCCCCCTACTCCCAATTGGCAAAAGCCGATTGCAGTATTGGCAACGCAGCCCATACACTCACCATTATAAAACGCATCTTTTTAGATGCTACTATGTTTAAATATAGGCTATAGAGATAAAATATTGCTAATGCATTTCAAACTTTATTTTTACAATTCAAAACTTAATGCATGTTTTGTTCTTGCTGAGATTAACCCATTTGAACTCTTTAAAAATTACACATTCATTAAGCTTGATTTTATTCGTTTTTTCACACAACAGCGAGTTCCAAACTGTAACTTAGGTGGTAAAATAATAAGTATTTGATAATAAAGGAAAGTAACTTATCTACAATATTTGTATCCTTCACACTTGTTTAAAATTAAATGAAAACAAAGTAAACATTACAGATTTCTGAATAAAATAATGTTGGTGAGTTTCTGTCGCAGCCTATGTTAGGAGTTTAAACGTGATACTTTTTTGTTTAGCTGTGTGGTGGCAATATATTTTACTAAATAGGTCACAAATGAACTTAATTAATTGTAATTCAAACGTGTGTCTTCCCCAAAAGAAATATTTTTGACACGCCCCTTAAAAATAGAGCCTACAAAATGGGAACACGGGGCTACAATTTAGTCTCTTGTGTTAAAGTTTCCTTAATGTTGCATCTGACAAGTCAATACACATTGTAAAGGTACTTCACTACCATCTTCGTGTGCCCTAATAAGCTTACCTTGGGTTACATTGTTTTTTACCTTTTACCTTCCGTCGTGAACGTTTACCAGAGAAACCTGGATTTTTATGTAAAAAAAATTAAAATAACACTTCATACATAAAATTGAATATGAAAACATTTAACATTAATATTTACAGAGCACAAATGGCGAGCAGGGAGGTTAGTGAATCAGCAAAAAACTCATCAATTGAGTAGAAAGCCATGTCCTTTAGCCACCGCACCAAGACACGCTCAAAGCGGGTTTTCTCAAGCAGCCTAACTCTAGTGGGAAGCTTTAGTGGGAACATCTTCAACGCCATATCCGGGAAGTGCTTTGAAGTTTTAACTAGCCTGCGTCTCGGGATGTCCAGATTAGATCTGCTATGAAGTAGTGGTTATGAATTTCGCTACTGGTGGTGAAGGAGGCCTCATGTCGCTTAACATATACCAGCGAAACCAAGATGTAGTTTTATGGTACGGCGAGTATGTCCAAACTCCGAAACAGGGGCCGTCAGTGATCTAGGTAATCACTTGAGGTGATAATCCTCACCGCTGCCTTCTGCAGCAAAAGCAGTCTGTGGCACTCTGAAGAGTGCCCCCAAAGAAGCAGTCCATAGCTGATGTGAGAATGGAACAGGGTATTAGGTATTACAAATATCTAATAATAAACCACTATTTGGTATTTGCGGTTGAGCAGGCTCTGAAGCTTCCACAGCAGGAACAAGACTCTGGATAATCTCTAGGTGATCACATCAATGTGTTTATCCCAAGATAGCTTATGGTCCAGAGTGAAACCCAACAGTTTGACGGGATCAGCAGCTTTGTGAAATTCTATTTCGCTGAGACTGCAGAGTAGTAACTGGGTTTTTGACTAGTTCAGTTGTAACATGTTACACTGGAACCATGTCTTGGCTTGGTCGAAAGCCAGTTCCTGGTTGGCAATCAACTCATTAAGATTTCGCTCCCTACTGAGAAGAGTGGTGTCATCTGCGAAGATTAGCACTCCCCCCTCAACACTAAGGTCGTTTATGTGTAAAATGAACAGTAGGGGACAAGCGCTGAGCCTTGCGGCAGCCTATAGGGTACAAGTTGAGTAGCCGATTTTGAGCCGTTAATAGCAACACTTTGCAACCTCCCATTTAAATAGGACTCCAGCATACTTAGAGCCTTGCCACAGAGACCATAGTGACGAAGTTTGTCCAACAAAAGGCTATGCGAAACACAGTCAAAGGCCTTTGTTAAGTCACATAATGTTAAAAGAGACTTGCTTGACAAGGTCCATAACTGCTGAGGTGGTAGATTTCCCCGACCTGAAACCATGTTGAGTGCTGGACAATAGGCTATTTCCTTCAAAAAACTCCTCAAGTTGTTTTTTCATGATTTGTTCAATTATTTTGCTAAAGACAGGGAGTATTGACATTGGCCTATAGCTACTTATTTCTTCCGGGTCTCCTTTTTTGAAGATAGGAACCGTTTAAGAAGTCTTTAGCGCATCAGGAAAATAGTCGTCTTCAAGACAGCGGTTGATGACATAAGTAAGAGGGGATATTATCACAGTAGCAACCTTCTTAAACAGCCACACCGACATTCCATAGACATCTAGGCTACTTGAGTCCTTAGAAGCCTTTATTACACTCAAAACATCAGCTTCAGTAAACTCCATTCACTCAACCTCACTCTGTTGCCAGATTGCATAGGCCTTAGATATGCAACAGGGTCAATATTGGATGTGGGAATCTTATTCATTATACTGGTCACAGAATCAATAAAAAACTCGTTAGCCTCATCAGGACTGGCTTTACAAGCAAACAAACTAGACCTAGTACGGTTACTGTTTACAAACCTCCAAGCTGCCTTACATGGGTTTTGCGCCTCGGTTATAAACTTGCCATAGGCATCCTTTTTGGCTGCCTCAATCTTGGCTATACATAATAATAGTCCCTAAAATAACTGAAATTGTCTTTTTCAGAAAGAGCACAGCAATACAACAAATACGATCCTGGCATTTCATCTTAGCTTAGTTTTAAGTTTCCTTAAAATGAAGCCACTAATGCAATGTAAGACACATTATCCTTATAATACAACTAACTGCTCTGTGCTGCAAACAAAAGAGACATAGCAATAACTTCATCGTCTAATCTTCATCATTGTTACTGTCAAATATAATTTGACTACTCGAATCGGACAATGAGAAGGCAAAATGATGACAATCGGATAAAGATCCAAACAATTCTCCCCTTCAAGGTTTTACACTAGTTCAACTTTTCTCTTCTTGTAACATACTCTTATACCTGTCCAAGTTATCTAGTTTTACGGGCTCCTTTAAACACCTTGCTAAATGGGTCCCTACTATTCAAACAGTCAAACAAGCTATCAAGTGCTTTGATGTATTTTACAGTCGCCACACAACCAGCAAAATTTGGAAAATGTAAAAAATCCAAAGCTTGTGCCACTCTACTTCTCAAAGTCTGAGCTGCTAATCTCACATTTATTATGCGGTTTTGATAAAATACATTTTTTTCTGAGAGCTTATTCGCCAAGTTTAATTTCTGATTCTTATGCAATTTGTTCACTTTTTCAATATAGGTATAGTTAATGATGCCGAATTCAGATTCAATGCACCTCATATCAGCTAAGGTGTTACGGCTTAATCATGCGTGGGGATCTAGCATCACAGATATGCTATGGTCGATTCCATTTAGTTGAAAATATTGTTTATTGGGTAACCTACGACCTAAGTTAACTAAAGCACTTATATTGGCAGAGGCTCCATCAAAGGTGACATTTTTACAGAAACACCAACTTCTTTCAGTTTGTAAATGCACATTTTTTCTAGTGTATGACAGAGTCACAGATGAGTAATTTAAAATAAAAAACACCCGATGACAACACAATTAAAACGGACACATAATGAGACGATTTGAAATACCAAGGCTTCTGTTGCTAGCTGCTCATTATTATCAGTTTTAACACCACCTAAATCAACTCATCCTATATTTTTATCACGTTTTTATCAGCTCGCTTTCTTGTTTGTTAGGTACAAATTTTGCACTCAATTTTAAACTAACTTCCCGATGAGCTAGAGACTTGAAACATAGCTCAATAAATGGTATCAGCATTCTGACACATACTTTCTCCCATAAGATTGTCAACAACCTTTATCATGTGTAAGCGGTGAGAGTAAATATACGGAAACGGGATTTGTACAATTTTGTTCAGAATTTAAAGGACTATTACATACTCAATTTTTATCAAAATCGTTTGGGCCATTTTTGGGAAAATCTGATTTTTTCATTATCTTATGGGGTTTTTATGGGAAAATAACATAATTTACAATAACTTTTGAACCGTAATTTTTACAGAAATGGGATTTGAACCATTTAGTTCAGAATATAAAGGACTATAACATACTAAATTTTTATCAAAATTGTTCGGGCCATTTTTGGGAAAATCCTATTTTTCTGTTATTTTATGGGGTTTTATTTGAAAATCCCCATTAAAAATCAAAATTTCTAAAAAATGAAAAAAAAACTGTCAAAATTGTAAGGACCATAACATACTATGTTAAATCAAAACCGGATTTTTTTCTAAAATCCTATTTTTCGTTATTTTATGGGGTTTTTATGGGAAAATAACATAATTTACAATAACTTTTGAACCGTAATTTTTACAGAAATGGGATTTGTACCATTTTTTTTTTCAAAACTTAAAGGGCTACAACATACTAAATTTTTATAAAAATCGTTCGGGCCATTTTTGAGAAAATAGATTTTTCTGTTTTTATGGGTTTTTATGGGAAAAATCCCCATTAAAAATCAAAATTTAAAAAAAATAAAAAAACAACTGGAAATACCATGGATTAGAAACTACATATACCAAATTTCATTGAAATCGGACCACAGGTGTAGTCCCTAGCTCTATACACATCCAGACACACACACACACACACAGACATCACTTCAAAAACCACTTTTTTGGGTCCAGGGGGACCCAAAACGAATATATCCACTCAAAACTCAAACTCGAAATTTTTGAAGAAAACAATACTTTCTCCATATACTATGGTATAGGGGGAGAAAGTAAAAATGGATGGCGATGTAATATTAAATCATTGTATTTAAATAACATGGTTAGGTATTAATATAATATCATTGACTGTTGTATTAATAGTCAACGATAATATGTTAATACATAACCAAAACCTTTTTATCTGTAATCAGATGTTTTATCTTTACTTTGAAATGTTTGTTTATTTTTACTTTAGGTTTTTGTGAGTATAAAACTAATTAAAATATTGAACAAAATCACGTTTTTTTAAATTTATGAAATGATTAATATTGCATTGTCATCCATTTATGAGCTATGTTTCAAATCCCTAGTTCATCCAAAAGTTAGTTTAAAATCGATTGCAAAATTTGTACCGAACAGACAAACGCTAACAAAAATGTGATAAAAAATTAACAATCATGAAAATAGGGACACTGTGTATACAATTATGCAGTTTATAAATAGTTTTATAGTAAATTAGTATTATAATTGGATCTTGTCATTTTAATGAATTTTCTACAGCATTTACCATTTCACAAATCAAACATAAAAAATGTATAACTTAGTTGCAATTACCAGCTCAAAAAATAACTACGGTATTTGATAACTTGAAAGTAGAGAAAAATATGTAATAGATTTCATGGGCTGGATGTTAATTGTTTTAACCCAATTGGCTGATCTGTATCTTTAAAAAACTTAATCAACTATATGTGGTTTTTCATTAAATTGTATTTTGAAATATATTGTTAGAAAAACACAACAATACAGTATCACTTCTTATTTTCAGGTTTAGATTTAACTCATACTGTTACAATACTTTTCTAGACCGAAATGGAGACTTGGATGAAAATATCATCTTTACTCTGCATTTTTGGATTTCTAAAAGAGTTCAGGCCATCAGAACCATACATCACTCCTTATCTAATGAGTTCAAGATTGAACTTTACCGAAGAACAGGTAAGTTTGATGTTTTAATTTATTATAGATTTGAAACCTTTTCTGTCTCTTTTCTAACATTTAAAGAAAGTCTTCAATTTAAAACTACTTATTTGAATTACGGTACTCTACTGTTACTACTATACCACCTATTAAAGTGAGTGACCTTGCTAATCTAAACTCAAACCTTTTAAAAGCTTCAGACTTAACAAAGGTATTTTTGGATTTAGGTTCAAAAGTTTTTCCCTTGATAATCAAATACTTAAGAATAAGAATCTCTATGACGGTAAAAAAGAAGTCTTTCTCAGCTATCAAAGCTTTCATGGCAGCACATGAAGCAGTTATTTTGAGTTTGATTGTTGAAGTATCTATTTAAAACATTGACACAACTGTATGTTACGGTTACGTTTATATAACACCATTTGAGATTTTACGTTTCAGTAAAACCATTCAGACACGAGGGGTGTTAATGAACCTTAAGTTTTAATCTCGGCAATTAGGCTCTATCTGGTGATAATGTGACATTGGGATAGTAATTTATCATTGCGTCATCATTGATTTATCCCTCATCTGTACAATTTAAGAGATTCTCTATATTTGTCAAAAATGGAGTAGTTCTTGGAACTATTATAATTGAAGCACCTTAAAACTAATGTAGGCTACTTTGATTTGTTTAGATGGTTTTAATTAATACATGATTATTACAATCAAGAATTTTCAAATAGGCATATTTGATACTACTATGCAATAATTTTGAAAATGGTAAAGGGTTAAATAAAATGCTGCAGGTATCCTAGCTAAGATAAAACTAGTCAGTTAATCTTAAATCAATCAAAGAAAAAAAAAATATTTTTTTACTCGTATAACTTAACTACGGTACCTATTTATTGTAGTATTTAAAATTTTAATTTATTGAAAAACAAAGCAAAGTGCTTGTTAGCTACATTATTTTGTTTGAATATTGCGAGTCCAAGTCTAAGTACGGTTTTAATATCAACTTCTTGTGTTTTCTTAACCAATTAATCAATTCCAATTTCACCTAATGGCTGGTCTAGTGGTTAGAGCACGAGACTCCTACGCAGATAGGTTCAAATCCCTCCAACCACTAACACATTTTTTATGTACAATAATGCCTTCACATGATGGTTCTTGACCTTCCTTAACATGTAGGCCCAACTTTCTAGAAAAGGGGAAACCCAAAATTTATATGATTTGTATCTTAGGCAAGGAGATTTTTTCATGTTAGAAGACTTCCCACAGATGAAAGCCATAAAAAAATGTTTATACAAATTACGATCTGGCAATACCGGATTTAATTGCTTAGTTTGTAATTTGTAATTGCAGAGTTCACTCAACTATAGACAGTCGACACTTCTGTCAACGTTTGTTGACCTACTCATGTTCTGCTTACCTGGCTTGATTCTTCATTTTGATTATCTGTCAAGTGTTAAAAATTGTCATTTGTCAGTAATTTTGATATAAATTCTTTTCTCGTTTTTAAATTTTTTCGTTTTTAAATGGATTTATGAATTCAATGCATACTTTAATACTTTCTCATAAATGTAAACAAACTAAATACATTTATTTTACATCAGATTGTTCAAAAGGGGATTTTTACCCTGCAATGGCATTTAGACTTTAGGCTTATATTTTTCCCAAGCTAGACTACTAAAGATACCGTCGTACTAAACGGTAAATTACATATGGGCTAAAAAATGTGTATGATATTGTACTCTTCCTATCTGATAGCTCGGTCTCATTGAAATTTTTGTAGAGCACAGGTGATCCATTTTATTTTCGAAACATAAGGCATGCCTGTTTCCACAAAGAAGTAAAGAACATATTAAATGGTACACTTAAGTGGTGTCTAGAGCAAATTTTATTTGTTGTCCCCTACCACTCTCCTTTCCTCCTCACCATCATGGTCTACAGTGTTTTATGCTGTAGTGAAGACCCTATGTGCTACAACTGCTGTACAACAATACTATGTGGCCATTGCAGTTGGGGCTCTTCCTTGTTCGGCACAAGTACATTTCCACCCCACCATACCAGAGCTAAAAGCGCATGGTTGTCCTTTAAGCTTGTATCCTTTGTATCTTACTTCTCTGTGCTATTACACAAAAGGTCAATGCTATCGATTTTTTTTAATGAACACCATGATGAACTTAAATATTCAAAATGAACTTTCAATTAGTTAACTTGTTGAGTTTGGTGTCTGGTTGGGGATCAAATAAATTGTTTGTTATATTCTTTTATTTATATAGGCTATTTGCTATTTTAGAACATTTGTGCTGTATATCGCTTGAGTATTGTAAGTAAGAACGTATATCACATGTCATCAATAAAAAACTGTCAAATAATATAGGCATCTCCAGTTAACACTGTGAAATTGTGAAATAACATAGAAATTAAGAAACACAAAATTTAAGTATTTTTGTGAAATGTTGTAGATATCACAAGACATATATCCGATAGCCACGTATGCCAACATGCTGAGTCTCATAGTGGTGTTTCTAGTCACAGACTTCCTGCGTTACAAACCCATCATCATCGCAGATGCAGTCAGTGGAGTCTGTGTGTATGCTGGACTCATACTATTCAACACACTATTTGCTGTTCAGGTAAACAACCAGCTGTAGATAATTCATTATCTTGGGTTTGTAAAGTTTAACCACCTCTCTCTTAATCTTGGCATATAATGGTATCAAGTTTTGTGCGTTTATTGTTTAGTAAACAAAATAGAATAATATAACAATGTTATTTATGTGAATATTTTTTTTACAATTTTATTTTACAAACTACTATTATAAACCTTCACGACTAAACATAAAAATAGACATTCAGTGTCCATGTTTAAGATTTTCTAGTTAATAAAAAAATACCCCCGCCGCAGCAAACCTGCAGACTAAGCGAATTTCCATTTGACTGATTGGATTTAAACACTGAAATGTCTACTTAAAAATATAACATTTATTCCCGATTTAAATATAATTAGTTCAACAAGTACTTAGGTTTGCTGCATCAGGGAGGGTAAAACTTTTTTTTTTGTAAAATGTTAATAGTTAGTAAGAAATAAAAACATTTTCCAAATTTAATCAAATTATGTTCATAAACAAGCAAACTACAACAGTTTACTTAACACGTTCACTACCGAGCGACGCACATTTGCGTCAATCCGGTCACTCCTACAGACCAAAAGGAATGATCATGACGTTGCTTACAGACCAAGTGATATAGGAATAACATTGCCGACAGACCAAAACAGAAATATAGTTTAAATGGACTAATTGACTTCATATTAACCTTAAGTGAATTAGTAAGCAATAAATATTGTTTTTATTTATCGTTTTGAGCAAATTTTAAAACGCCGCATATACGCGTCGGGCAGTCTATTTAACAAAATCCAGTTAAAAAGATTACATTTTCGTTTCAATAGACCAGGCGACGCACGTATGCGTCGTTGTAAATTTTGTTGTTTCAAGCTTTTACACAAACAAATAAAGAAACTCCACTAAACACTAGCCAAAACTGCTAAGGCTATAACGTTTACATGTTTCTGTGATGTCGCGGAATACACATTGTAGGTAAACAACAATGTTGCCAACTGTGTGACGTAACCAATCGTCATATCCACAGACCAAGCGACTCACATTTGCGGCAGATATCCCTCTAGACCGATATGATAAAATCAGGGGTTTAAAATAGACCGTTGCTAAGAAATACGCTGATTAATAACATTGAACACCGACGCAACTGTGCGTCGTTAGTCTATTTCAATGTGACCAGCTGACGCAAATATGCGTCGGTGGTCTATTGTGAGAAACGAGTCGACGCACAATTGCGTCTCTGGTCTATGCGAACGTAAATTCCATATAATTTTGGTAGCGAACATGTTAATCTCTGTAAGAATAAAATAGGAATTTTAAATTTACAATTTTTTGGAATTTTCTCCGTAACCATTAGGCGCATAATAACGCTTCAATATACTAAATTATTTGTTTTTAAAGCTCTCCAAAATGGTTTGGAAAGAAATTGCTAAATTTTAGGCTATGTTTTTTGGGTCAAAAATGGAAAAAACCTATTTTTACCCCATAAAACCCCCCATTCCCATGGTCCGATCATGCTGGATCGCGAACTCCTTCGAATAAACGTAGGTTTACACATCGTTATCGTGCTAACGGACACACATATATATATATGTATATATATATGTATATATATTTTTTTTTATAGTTTTGTTTTTAGGGCTACTTTTTCAAAAAATAAGTAAAATAATAAAAACCAGAGTACCCTGAAATTCATTTTTATATATTATATAAATATATATATATATAAGTAGATAGTAATGTACCAATCCTAGCGCAAAAAAGTACGAGTTCAGAAAACCAATGTAAATACTCTGTTTTTGACAGAAAGAAATTGTTTGTTCTATTAATTAAAATATATTTAATCTTTCTTTAAAATCCATTGAAGTTTTGTTGAATTTGCATTTATTTATTAATAAAATTTACCAAAAAAGGAGCCACTCAAAAATTAAATGAATTTTCCTATTTTTTTATACAATATGCTATATTTTTTACCCTTTTAGGTCAATTTCTAACATTTTCATATTTTTCTAGAAAAAGTATATAATTTTGATGAAATTTTCATGAATATGTCTATATTTTACATAAAATTGACTACAAAACAAAATGTTTTTAAAAACAAGTAAAATTTTAAAATTTTTTATTCAAATATTCTAAATATTTTATTTAAATTATTGTTTTTTGTAAATAATATTTTTCCTATTTGAGTTAGTTAAAATCTATCAAAAGTATTGAATTTCTCAGAAAATTCTAATGATATTTGATGTATTATAAGTCTAATAAATGTTAAATTGATAAGTAAATGTTTTCAAAAATAAATTGTATTTGTATTAAATTGTTATATAAAAAAGGGGATATTAGTAAAGTTTAAGCTTTTTAACTGTCATTAATATGATTCAAAATTAATTCAATTATATTACTTATTTTTCTTTTATAATAAATGGAGAAGAAATGTTTAATATGTAAATTGTTAAAAGATGTATCAGAGTTTTCAAAAAGAAAATCAGCAAAAGATGGATTATATTATTACTGTAAAGAATGTGATAAATTATATAGAAAGGAATTATTTGATAATATTAAAGGATTTGAAAGAAATCAAAAAGAGTGTTTAAATTGTAAAACAATCAAAGATATAGTAAATTTTTATAACTCGAATTATAGTAAAGATAAAAAGTTAGCAATTTGTATTGAATGTTATAGAGATATGTTTTTAAAACCACAATTTTGTGAGTGTGGAAGAAATATTAAATGGGTCAATAACTATGTAAGACATTTAAAAACTAATATTCACAATAAAAATATCAATAAATAAATAATTTAATAATATTATTAGAAATTGTATTAGTTTAAAAAAGTTTTGATATTGTTAATATTCTAAAGAGTTGTTTTTAGATAATATTGAAAAAATACTCTAGAATATTTAAATTAATCAATAATTAGTTGATAATTTAGTTGATTTTATTGAAAAAATGCTCTAGAAGTTTTAAATCGACTCTTAATAACTGATACCTTGAAAATATTGAAAAAATACTCTAGAATATTTAAATTGATCAATAATTAGTTGACTGTTGATTTTATTGAAAAAATACTCTAGAAATTTTAAATCTGCTCTTAATAACTGATATCTTGAAAATATTGAAAAAATACTCTAAAATTTTTAAATTGACTCTTAATAACTGATTTCTTGAAAATATTGAAAAAATACTCTAGAATATTTAAATTGATCAACAATTAGTTGACTGTTGATTTTATTGAAAAAATACTCTAGAAATTTTAAATCTGCTCTTAATAACTGATATCTTGAAAATATTGAAAAACTACTCTAGAAATTTTAAATCGACTCTTGATAATTGATATCTTAAAAATATTGAAAAACAAGCTAGAAAATATAAATTGACTAGTAATTAGTTGATTGCTGATTTTATTGGGAAAAAAACCTCTAGAAAATATAAATTGACTAGTGATTAGTTGATTGCTTATTTTATTAAAAAGTTGTTTTGCAAAAATTTTCCTTTAATAAATGGAACGACAAAGTAAAAATATTTTATGCCCTTATTGCATTAAAAATATATCTTCTACAAATTATTCAAAACATTATAATTCAAAGAAACATTTAGAAAATAAAATAAAATATGAAAATGAAACTAAAAAGTTAAAAGAGTGGTGTAAAAATAATAATATTTATGATTATGAAACAAAAGAAATTGATGAATTAAAACAGATCAAACAGTTATATGATCCAGCAAACTATTTATTATTTAATGAAGAAAAATTAAAGGAAATTGCTAACAAACTATCTGTTAGAAACTATACAAATTTAGTAAGAAATGAACTGATTAAAAGACTAAATAAAATTAAACAAAATCCTAATAATTTAAAATATAGATCATTGAAATTTATTCAAGATTTAGCTGTTAAAAATAATATTAAAATTGTAAATAAAACTAGAAAGGAATTGACTGAATTATTGACTGATCATCTTAAAAATAAACCGATTCCAAAAGAAAATATAATAAATATTCAAGAAGCTTCTTCATTAAAAGGCTATTTTCAAGAATATATTCTAACAAATTTAAATGATGGTTTGGATATATCTGATTATTTAGAATCACAAAGAAGTGAAATTCAAAAATTAATTGAAAAACAAAAATTTAAAAATATAAAAGGACAATTAGCTTTAACATGTGAATATCAAAGAAAATTGGTTAGTGGTGAAAATCAAACCAGTACAATGTATTTTGCTCTTAGGAGTTCAGATATCTTAAATATTAATGAATTTATAAATGATCAGTTTACAAAATTAATATTAAGAGAAAATTTGAATCAACCATCAAAAGGTAGTGGCTGGTCATTAAATAGATGTTTAGAATTAAATCTAAAATTGAGTAAAAATAATTCATTAAATGCTGGTTCATATATTGAGTTGCCAAAACAAATTAAAAACAAAAAGTGTTGTATAAATTTTAAAAATAAAGATGAATACTGTTTTATTTATGCGATTAGATGTGCGATTAATAGACCAAAAAGAGATTCTGAACGAGTTAAGCAGTATCAGAGTTATATAAATGATGAGATTTTTAAAGGTTTTGATTATCCAATAACATTAAAAGACATAAAATTGTTTGAAAAAAGATCATTTGATCCTAAATATAACTATCCATCCATGTCAATTAATGTTTATAGAATTGATGAAGATGAAAAGATTGTTCCATTACAAATATCTGAAAATTATGATGCAAAATTAGACATTGATTTGTTGTATTATAAAGATGGTGACAACTCACATTACATATTAATAACTGATTTAAGTAAATTAGTTTCTAACCAAGTTTCAAAAGATGGTCATAAACTATATATTTGTAGACGATGTTTGACACATTTTTATAAAAATAGTGATTTGAATAATCATTTAATAATTTGTAAATCTCTTGAACCTTGTCGACCAATTATGCCATTTTCTGGTGAAACTGTTAAATTTGAAAATTATTATAAAAAACTTGAACATCCTTTTGTAATTTATATGGATTTTGAAAGCA